AATGAAATAAATGTTGTGTGATACTATCAAGTCATCCCATAAGTTCTGTCTGAATTTTAACTTTTGTTAAAATGAATGAAATTTAAAGAGTATTTTATAATGTCTAATGGAGCTGAATATTATTTTTATGTTTAGATGCATTTAAACTGATCAGATTTTATTTCAGAGAACAATAAAATTAAATTTTGTTTGATTAAAACCCTGCTAACATGGAAGTATCCAAGAATTATTTGAGGCACATAATCCTTTATGAGTTCAAGAAAGGAAACTTGGCAGCTGAAGCAGCTAGAAACATTCACTCAGTTTATGGAGAGGAATGTGTGAATGAAAGAACTTGCAGAAGATGGTTTGCAAAATTCAGGTGGAGATTTCACCCTTGAAGATGATGATCGAACCGGACGTCCAGTTGAGTTTGATGAAAAGCTTCTTGAAGCAGACCTTGAAGAAAATCCTGCTTTATCAGTTGAGGAATTGGCAGTGGTTCTCAGTTCAAACCATACAACTGTTCATCGTCATCTTCAACAACTTGGAAAAGTTCCTAAACTTGGAAAATGGGTGCCTCATGAATTGTCTGAAAACAACCTCAGATCCCGAGTTGACATCTGCTTTTCTCTCCATTCTCGCCAACTTGTTTCACCTTTTTTGGATAGACTCGTGACTAGTGACGAAAAATGGATCTTTTATTGAAATGTTAAGCGTCGTAGACAGTTGCTTGGTAAAGGGGAAGGACCCCAGCCACAGCCGAGAAGGGAACTTCATGGGCAAAAGGTTCTTCTTTCAATCTGGTGGGATCACCAAGGAATAATCCACTTTGAATTCTTACCATCTAATGCAACAATTAATGCTCAAATATATTGTCAGCAATTAGAGCGTTTGAACCAAGCTTTGAGGAAAAAAAGACCTGCTCTAGTGAATCAAAAAGGGGTGATGTTTCATCAGGACAATGCGCGACCCCATACAGCAAGAATCACGTCACAAAAGATTGAAGAACTTGGTTGGGAGAAAATTCCTCATATACCTTATTCTCCCGATCTTGCTCCTTCAGACTACCATTTGTTTCGTAGCTTACAGAATCATTTGGAAGGAACAGCTTTTGTTACACAGGAAGAGGTTAAAACTGACATTTGTGAGTTCTTTGAATCAAAGCCAAAAGAATTTTACAATAACGGAATTAGTAAGCTTGTTAATAGATGGAAAGAAGTCATAGATAATCAGGAAAAATACATTGTTGATTGAATCTGTAATTAAATGTAACATTTGATCACTTGTTTTCTTTATTCAAAATTCGGACAGAACTTATGGAATGACCTGATATTAGTATGACACTCACATGAAGGAGGAAGGTGTGACCTTATCTCGATCTCAATTTTTTTTTTGTTTTATGGCTGTTAGTGGTTCATTTTGAAGTAGTGTCTTCTGAGCAGCACCCACTTGACTGAAGAGGAACAAGAGGACAAGCATGTAAAGGAAAAGCATTTGAGATCAAGCAACAAAAAACTGGGCTTTGATGATTTCCGGTTACTGGTCTATATTAACAATCATACTTGGAATCAAGGAAGTTACTTCAGGTCTGCCATTAATGGGAGGCAGACTGTACTTCAGGTAGTTCCAATGCCACCTATTTGTATTGCCAGTTACAGGTTAGTAGAAGGTTTGTAGGAGGGAAGAACTGAGCTGTTAGACTGATATTGCATAATTTGTCCTAAGTGTCAGCTACCTAACCACTCAGACCAAGCAAGCAAACCCTGAATAAAACATCTCTTTCTAAATATATTGGAAACAAGATTTTCTTGATGTGGCATTTAAAAAAATATTTTTTTGTTCCTTTGTGAACATGCTGTGGGCCTTTCCCAGTTTTTTGGTTGCATACCAATGTGAATGAGAATTGATATGTAATATGTAGGATTCACTAGCTGGTGGGTGAAAGCTGGATGAGAGTCCCATTTGTATGTCAACAGTTGATCATACAACAGTTTCACCAAATTGGAAACTTAAAAAGTAGTAGTACAAGTAGGTACTGTGCAAGCTGAAGGAAAAAAATCAATTGCATGTTCTGTACTTTTTTTATCTGAAAATGCTTGGTTTTTTGACCAATTAGAAAAAAAAAAATTCTGCATAACATTTTGTGCAGTGGGTAGACTGAGGTGAAGTGTTAAAACACTTCCCCAAGCTGTATTAAGGAAACTATTTGATAGTCAGCAAGTGGAATGATCCACTACAACTTCTTGAATTCTAGCAAAACCATAATAACAGAGATCTACTGCCAGAAAATCAACAAAATTCATCAAGGACTGCAACATTTTTGTCCAACATTGCTTCCCAGTTAAGGGTTAAATAGTAGGATTTGCATCAGAAAATCATTTTCTCCAAAAAATTCTTACACTCCTAAAATGTTCCAGCTTTAAATAACCTCAAAAAGGTTGATAAACCATAAAAAATAAATCCATCCATTAATCAATACATTAGTTAAATCAGAAGGCTCAGTTCTTCTCCATAACTGCAGAAATTGAGTGCAACTCTATAACTCACCTAAGTTACTCACAAGATCTCTCTCCAATTAACTAATACTTTTTTTCAAGCGTCTTGACAATTTTCTACAAGAGATGTTTGTCAAAAAGCAAGCAGCAGCTCTAATCATTTTTGAGGAATTCATAAATTCCATGACTGCAGAATATTATATGACTGAAATAAACTTGTTTCTCATGGTCAACAATGAATGCATTCTAATTGTTCTTATTTTGATTAATATATTTTAAAATAGATATGGATTTAAAGTTGATGGTTAAAAACATGCAATTATTTTTGCACAGACCTTATACATTTGTACATATACAAGATGCGTAAACAAATAAAGTCAACTTTCTATTTGAAATTTTTGACCACTTGATGTATCCTGTAAACAGCTTATCATAGGAGTTGGAATGTGATACAAGGAGTGACTCTACTATCTTTGCTGTTTTTAGTGGTTTAATTAAAGATCTACATATTTTGTTTTTGACCTCTTCTTCTGCTTGGTAAATATTTGATAAGAAAGCAAATGCTAAAAGATTTTTCTTTATTATGAATAACTTTGAATCTATTGCATTTCTTTAATTGAACCCATGAAAAATAACTTGTTGATTGTGGATATTGCAATATGAATATTGAAATTTTATAATTCTACTTTTCTTTAAGAGATACCAGTAGATTGTTAGGAAAAATACATGCATAGGGAAGTGCTAAAAATTATTTGCTTGAAGACACACACACACACACACATGATTTTTGATCATCTGGTTGAATTTCTGAAATGGATTTGTCTTGGAACTTTTTAACACCCCCTTGTGCGTGCACACACACACACACACACACACACATTGGGGTCCTATAAACAGTTTTCTTTAAAATGAATTTTGATGATTTGGATATAGTTCAAAAGAGATCATAATTCTAAAATTGAGACAAAATTGTTTGATATTTCTAGAATAAATTTGTTAAATTAAAACTAAACAATGTTTTCCTGTACCCCTTGAACATTGAACTTTTTGAATGTTAAAAAAATCAAAAACAAAAAATAATACCACACAGTTTCATTTTCATAAGAGAAAAAGTGGGATTAAAAAAAAAAAAACTCCTGTTTTATCTTCTAATTAGAGTGTTGAAAATTTTTTTGTCAGAATTCTGCTATGATACATCTTTCAAACAAGAACTTATGGTAGAGATTTTACATAAATCAATATACATATACATATATCAAGTCCATACAACTATAACAACAAATGTGGTTATTAAGTCCATACAAGAGAAAAATATTTATCCCATTTAAAATGAACTCTTTGATTTTTTTTTTTTTAGCTATCTCTTCTTAATGCAGCAAATGCTACCATATAATTTCTGGGTTTCTTTTTTTTCTTAATCAGTTTTGCTGATCTTGTCTTTAGGTAATGAATTCTTTTGTAAATGATGACCTAAACATTTTCTTTTTGCAGTATTTCATTAAGAATTTTATTTATTTAATTTTTTTTTTTTGAAGTGATGATATAAGGTAGTATAATGGTTAATGACTCAAAATGAGAAATCAGTGAGCTGTGTTTGAATTTTGGTCATGTTTGTTGCATTCACTTTCACACAAATACCCTTGGAAAAAGTTTGAATCCATCTCTATTAATCCCAGCTATGGATTAAATAGCAGGGTAGACGGAGCTGCCTTGCTTTGAGGTGGCAATCTGTCTAGAAGGGCAAGTCTGAATTCAAAACCCAGCTACCTGGAACTATGTAAAGATGGTTAAACATGGAGTCCAGATAGTGTCTGTAAAATGTAATAGGTTTCAACAGCTATAGATAATACTTGATTATCCAGAATGCTGTTGAGACCAATGGATTCAAGGAAGGTATCATGTGTCATTTTGTTTTATATTTAAAGCTTTTAAAAATAAATACTTTCTAATTTTTTTGCATATCATAAACTATTTTTATTATTAAAATGAAGTATTGAACAAGACTTATTGTAAGAATGCTAGACTTTCTCTGATTTGAAATTTATTTCATTTTTAAAATATAGAAAATATAAGCCTTCAGTTTGTAAATGGTCACTGATAGAATATCAGCCAACCTCAAGGTTGCTTAACCGTCATTCTGTGATAAGACAGAAATGAGAGAGAATGAGCGAGATTGCACTACTGCATGCATAGATTAATTTAAATTTCCATCAGTTAATAGTCAATGTAAAAATTAATTTTTTTTTGTTGAACACAATTGGTTGACTTTTAACCTTTTTATTGAAAAATTTGTGGTATTTCTATAAAAAAAGAAATGCAGAAAAAATTATCTTTCTGGATATCCAAACAAATATAGAATGAAATTGATTTTACAAACTTGTAATAGACACATTCACAGAGAGAGAGAGAGAGAGAGAGAGACAGTACTGATGATTTTTATTAATAGTAACTGGTTTTCTTATCACATTATTAATTCTCATATTATTTCAATAATTTTTTTTCTTCCTGTTTACTTATTTTCAGGATTCACAAAGAAGAAATTAGCCAAAGTCTGCTTCGATTACACTCCAAATGCTGAAGATGAACTCGAGCTTCATACGGGGGACGTTCTTGAAGTATTAAGAGAGGTTTGTTCTCTTCACATTAATTTTTCATGCTGCATGAAAGACAAAAACAATCTGAAATAATTTTATATTTACACACTGGCATATAAATTAATTACTTTGGACTAATATATGTTTATCATACATATCAAAATATAGTTTTGAATATTTTTTTTAATCTCTTATAACTTCTGGTTTAGGAAATTTACAACTTTGTAAAAGTTTTAGACATCTTGCATCTCTTGTTGATCATGTGACAGGGGCAATAATGCTCTGTTTGTTGAAATACAATGCTACTCAACTGCAGGTGCATTCAGCTTTTGAAACTTGCAGGCCCATTTGGGTGCTTCTGATCTTAAATCCAGCAGCAAGGCCTCTGTTCAGGAGACTGGAAGTTTTGATGAGTGTGGAACCACCTCTTAATTAGTGTTGTTTCTAGGCCCACAGTAACCCAGGGTGGTAGCACCTGTTAGGGTCCTAGCTATAGCCAAAAAGTGACCCCCCCCAAAAAAAAACAAAAACATTTTTATAGTAAAAGTATCAACAATACAATTTTATATATATATATATATATATATATATATATTAGTGACAATATCTGTTTATAGCAAAATTAGAGACAATACCTGTTTATAGCGAAGTTTGTGACAATACCTGTTTATAGCAAAATGACCAGCAATATCTATTTATAGTAAAATGATATATATTTTTAAAGCAAGCTGACAAGTAATACATTTTATAACAAAATGACCAACAATATCAGTATTTGAAAACCTACAATTGCGTTCAATGTATTTTTAGTTGAAGTCATAAAATTGTTTTCAAAATATTTAAATTTTAACATTAAATATCTCTTAGAGGCTGATATGCTGCTAAGTAAAATCAACCAACTGATCTTAAAGGGTTAAGTTAATCATTGTTTACTCTTGTGAAGTTAATCATTGTTTACTCTTGTGAAGTTAATCATTGTTTACTCTTGTGAAGTTAATCATTGTTTAATCATTAATTTGTTTCTTGTGAAGTTAATCATTGTTTACTCTTGTGAAGTTAATCATTGTTTACTCTTGTGAAGTTAATCATTGTTTTGTGAAGTTAATCATTGTTTACTCTTGTGAAGTTAATCATTGTTTACTCTTGTGAAGTTAATCATTGTTTACTCTTGTGAAGTTAATCATTGTTTACTCTTGTGAAGTTAATCATTGTTTACTCTTGTGAAGTTAATCATTGTTTACTCTTGTGAAGTTAATCATTGTTTACTCTTGTGAAGTTAATTTGAAAACATGTTCAGTAACAAAACTAAATCACTTGATTGAGAATTGGTTTGCATATTGTAAAATGAAGACACCAATGTTTGGTGTTACTAATGAGTATGCAAACAGGTGGAGCAACCTCTTCACTAAGGGATTTGGTGAATCCTGTTTGAGTACATTTTAGTCAGTATATCAGGAATTTTTTCAGTACCTTTCTAATTTTAATTTTTTTTCCTAGAAAATTTTCCCTCAATATTGTACATAGGTGATTAGGTAGAAGCAATAATGTTAAAAAGTGGTAAAAATAATGTTAGTATGCTTATCATCATTGCCAATGTTGTTATTTTGTATTCAAGTCTATTTGCTCTCTTAACAAGTACTTAAGTGTTTGAGATGAGAATTTTCATGTTCATAATGTCATTTTCTCAGATCATAGCTACAGTTGTCTTTTTTTTTTTTTTTTAATACTCCTAAGCAATATACACGTTACAAAAAAGCTATAAAAGTTTGATTGTTAAACTGTTTTCTGATCACTTTGTGATTAAAAAAGCTTTCCTTTTATTTCTTCCCAAAATTATAAATGATTGCAACCACAGCTTCTTACTTTTAGGTATTAAAGAGAACAATTATAGAAGGAATGTTCACATTATGATCCTCATCCTGAAATGTTTTCCTTAAACTTTTTAGCGACAAACATCAATGCTAACAACGAATACTCCCTTCGATGGGCTTTTGGAAAGTCCATCCCTCAGTAGTTAAAATATTCTTGGCTGTATATATCAAAAGTTTTTTTTTTTAACAATAATATTCACTCTGTACATGGCTCAAGAGCTACTCAAGGTAGAGGGTTACAGAGAAAGAGGCACAGTTTATGAGGATATGTGGGGAAAATAATGGTTAACTCTGGACTTGAACAGGTTAAGATTAGGACATATATGATGATTATTAAAGCCAGATACTGGAACATTGAGTTTCTTTTCTCTTTCTTGGCATACAAAAGAAATCCTTAATATGTCTGGTTCACACTCCTCTCTGATCTTTTAAACAGGAGTAGCAGTTTATCCCCTGTTCCCTGCTTAGGATTGGGTTTCCGGTTCCTTCTAAAGGCTTTTTTTACTCTCACTAGTCCCTTGTGTCTTAGTGGCATTATCACCTTGCTTGAGGTGAATTGATTAAAATACAAATGTGAGTTAATCAAGAACAGAAGGAACAAATTGCATCTGATATTTTATTGCATTTTCATTAATCAATTACTGATCTTCTATATGTCATGTCACTTCGGAACATAGGCGATCATGGCTCTCCACAATACCCTGTCCTTTTTTGCTCTTAATAAATTTTGTCTTTTTGTTATCTATACTTTATTAGATGTTAGTAAAAATGAATCAATGGTTTTTGAAAGATTTATTTTATTGTTATGCTCAAGAAAGTTAAATCTTCAAACCTTATTTGATTCAAACAATCACTTAGTCTAAACATAAACTAATGAAAAGTTCTTAATGTTAGCCATTAAATTAAAAATATTGCATTTATTTCAGTGATGAACATCTAAATGATAGGCTGATTGATTGAGATGGGAACTGTCTTTTCCTTTAGCAGGAAGGCAACTACAATAAAATGAAAAGCAGCAAAACAGTTAGTCATTGTCTCAGTTGTAATAATATCAAGTAATGAAATGAGAAATGTCTGAATCTGATTCCTTGAATCATTGATATTTATCTGAATTCATGTGACTTGATTAAGTGCTTTGCTTTCATTGAACCATGAGATGAAGCCACACTGTTGAATATATTACTTTGTTAATATGTAGTAAGGTCACACACATCTCAGACTCATAGAAATATGCACAATAGATGACATAATAAAGTTTGATTGATGTGTCAGAATGTTAGACAATCATTGGAACTAATGGTTTGTTTCATGGTAGATTCAAATCATACTTTGACTATTTTATGCTTTATTCACTCTTCAATATCTTTACATGGATGCTTATTTTGAATCACTTGAAGTAAAAAGTTGAACAAAACTGTTTTTGTCTATTCACTTTATCTTGCTATAGGCAAATAGGCTAATTATGCAGAGGAAGAAAAATCATATCTTCCTGGATTGAACTGTTTTATTGCAATGAATTAAAAACAAACAGATCAACTTGTTACTAAACCTCTCAAGAAAAAATACAATGTGTTACCCTATAATGTTCTGTTTTTCTCTTTGGATAGCATGAGGAGTGTTTAATTTTAACTAACATCATTTAAAAAGAACTTTTGATTGTCGTGTTAGTGTGTATTTTAAGAAGAATTATGTCTAAATTGTCATTTCTTTTTGTTTTTTTTTTTAATTCTATCAGTCAGTTATGTGCCATATGTGATACACGCTTAGGTGATCATGTATCTTTTGATACATGACTGACGAAGCAGATTTTTTCCTGCAGTTTCCTGGTTGCCATTTCTTTCTATGGTAGACCAGTTGCCATCCAATGCTATAGAACCCTGTCTGTCCTGCTATTTACCCATAGCTAGGGAGAGAAGAGGAGGATTCATACCTTTCCCAAGGGTATTAGCATGTAAGTGAATGTAAAGCTAAAAAAACACCCCAAAAAAAAAACAGTATTTTTGGCAAAAGTAAAAATCTGATTCTGACATGGAAAAATTGTTCAGTTTATAGAGAAAATAATGTGAATAACCAGGTGTGTATGTTGAGACCCTGTGAATGAACAGGTGTATATTTTGGAGCTTGTGAATGAAGAGACATGTATTTTGAGAATCTGCAAATGAACATGCGTGTATGTTGAGAACCTACAATTACCATGCATGTATTTTGAGACCCTGTGAATGCACAGGCATGTATTTTGAGATCCTGCGAATGACCAGGTTTGTATTTTCAGACCTTGCAAATGCAATGGCATGTATTTTGAAACCTTGCAAATGACCAGATGTGTATTTTGAGACCCTGTGAATAAACAGGTGTATATTTTGAGACCCTGCGAATAACAAGGTGTGCATTTTGAGACCCTGTGAATGACCAGGCTTGTATTCTGAAAGCAAATGAAGCAGATTGCCAAATAGAGAGATGCAACTAATGTTTGTGATAAATGTCAGATACATATATGGTGGTGGAAAAATCTATTTATACTGCTGCTGAATCAGCAATCTTAGACATGGCAATGAACTACATTATTTCAGGTGGGTAATGTTTTGTTTGGTAGCCTTGCTATGTTATTTTCTTGTTTCGTGACATCCTGCTTAGCCAGGATGAGTACTATAGCTGATATTTAAATTAAGGAAAACAAATCACAAAAATAAACATTTGTAATCCACATGCTGGTTTTTTGGTACATCCAGAAGAACTTTACCATTTTGAGGGAATCACCAATCTTGGTTTTGCTTATCTGCAAAACTTTCAGACAAATATATTTTAAGACAAATATATAGACATAAGTCTTTAACAGTATTTAAAAAAATATAAAAAAAAATAAATGTCTTCTAAGCCATCAAAGTCCACATCATTAAATCCAGGATGAAAAGTTCAAATTAATAAATAAATGAAAAGTTTAATTCATTGACTGCTGAAACATTTTTGTCTGGTTTCTTTTCATTTTTGCAGCTGACTGGAGTATTGTATTCTTTATTTCATCAAATGAATTTATAATGGAAAATATTGGCGATTGAAGTAAACATTGACTTTAAGATAGCTGAGTTTTATATTTATTTGATTTTTTTTTTTTTTTTTTTTTATGTATAAATTTTTTTAAAATAGGGTATTGATTTCCAGTGT